TGACACAGAGCCATCCTCAACAAGGCTGGACAGGGACACTGAAGAGGAAGACTCAGAGTTGGATGTTGATGAGGCCCAGGAAGAGCCCATTGACTGAAAGGGTTTAGCAAAAATGCAGAGGATTGCTTGAAGGAAGATGTGCAAGTTTAATGGGACTTTTTAGAGGGAGAAGGGCTCTTTTCATTTAACATTTTTGAATGGGACTTTGTGGGGATTTTTGGATGGGGGGGTGTATTTTCGTTCATTTTTTAATGAGTGGGGTTGGGGGGGATGAGTAATATTTAACTCAACATTCCTGTTTTCGTTCTTCAATGAAACTAATAATTGTTCAATAAAATAATTAAAACTTGTTCTGTTCTACTTAAAAAAAATTTAAAGAAAAATGTAAAAGAATCTGTTGAAATGTCATGTATTTTGTTTTATTTTTGCATCGAATATTTCCAAAATTCCCCAGCTTAACTTTCCATGGAAACTTTCCGGAAATTTACCGGAAATGTTCCGCCCCTTTGCAACCCTAGTGACTGGTAATGTCAGTGTACAAATTGGAAGAGAAGCTCCTTATTGGCTGTGTCTTTCGGACCGAGACCATCATAACAAAGAGAGAAACGCTCATTTGTTTGAGCAGATCAGCCGGCAGACCCTGGATGTTGCTGCCGGTGAGTGCTGTACTTTTATTGCCATGAGATGAAGCTCACTCATTCAAAGTGTTTGGTGCTCATGATAAGTCAAACAAAGGTACAGTACAGAGCAATACACAGGCAGGATATTGTTGACACTGAAACAATGAAAAATCGCTGGTAGCGTTTTTTGATGAAAGGCTAAGAGGAAGAGCTCCCTGACGCTCTGCTGGCATCTTTCTGCCAAAAGAAGGCGCTATGTGGACACAGGGCCAGATTCAAACACAGCCACTGAACAGCAAATATAACAGCATCACCATGCAATGTGTGTGGGAGTTACCTGCAGTCTGGCCAGCTGGGTGATCCTGGCCACAATCTTGTTGTACGGGTCAACAATCTTCGTCCTTATCCTGAAGAGATTTGCAACGTTTCATTAGGAACCAGAGAGTTGCTCATAAAAGCATCACTGCACAAATCCTGAAGCATCTTTGTGTATCTCGAAAAGCAATATATAAAAATGATATGTATAATTGTTATGAATCTGTCATCTGAGACTTGTTATCAGCTGACCACAATTGTTTCAGATTGCATCAGAAAGTTATTTTCAGCTGTTTTGTGGGAGGGTAAATGAATAGTTATTAAACATTTTATTCGTTTAGCACTATAAAACAATTACCCAATAAGACAAACCTAAACAAATAAGATAATGAGTTTAGAAATATAGCATCACCTGTTAACAATGAGTAATTCAAGGCTTAAGACGGGCATTCTCTGTAACACCATTTTTGCTCAAAAACATCTTTTAAAGATGTTGGTGGAGGCTGGCTTTTGAGTGGTTGTAAAATAGCTGTTTAGTGAGTTAAGTTAGGGGGACAGGCAACAATGGAAGAGGTGGTGCTGATATTGTAATTGATTCCTATCACAATTACAAAGTTAAACCGGAATCCAACATATTTAATCACTGTTGTTTTTTTGTTTGCTTTACTGTGTGCATTGTGATTCTTTATTGTCATCTTAGAAGAGCAGAACCTATGACCCATTTAGGTTCAAACTTAAATTAGACACATCAAAGGCCTTAGTTTCTTCACTGGATTTTGTTACGCCAAGAGATAATAGAGAAAGCGTTTGTTATATACTGCCGATAAGTCAACACAAATCTATAATTATATAATTTTCATGCCCAGTTAAGAGGACCAGTGCAGAATGGAGACCGTGGCTGTAAGCAGTGTGAGAATGACTCCAATCATTCTCACAGAGCCACAGGAAACACTTTACCTGTCCACAGCTGCCTGCAGAGCACTGATCCTGGTCTGCATCATCTGAAGGACACCTGAAAAACAAGATTTGTGGCAGTACAGTACAATTTCACACTTATTTGAAGAGGTCCCCGATTATACTGTTTTTCATCAATATATAATAGGTCTCAGATATACACAAAGCATGTCTCTGAAGTGTTTGGCTCCAAACACCAAACAGATCATTGTAGCATCCCATAATCCCCTCTGTTTCAGCCCTGTTTCCAAAGTGCTGATTCTCTGTCTGTTACTTTAGATGAAAATAAGGAGCCCTTCCC